TCGGCCGGTGATTTAAACCTTTTGTTAGAATCGGAAAATTTATGACTTTTTTGTGATATTAGAGGTTTAATTTGAATTAATAGTCAAAAGCTGTTTCTATATCTATTGAGTGGCCATAAAACAGGTTCTAAGTCAACAATACATTGTCATGGTCAACTGAACGTTTGCTTTGATCCGCCAAGCGCCAAAGGGATACGGTTTCACGTATACTACCGTTCACCTAAAGATGTAAATCATATATTTTTTGTTTACAAGATAAATTTTATTATGTGAAACATCAGTAGCAATGAGGTTTTTATTGGACAGAACCTGATGAGTGGTGTCGCTTTTCTCTCACCTGTGGTTGACCAGCGGCAGGTGACATTCATAGCGATGATATAGTTAGCTACTGTGTGATAATGTTCTAGCTTACAGCCAGGTATGACGTTTAAAACGTCTTATGAGCCCAGAACAAAGTGTACTGTCGTTTTAATTCCTCTGTTAACAGACTTCATATTATCCATCGGAGAAAAGCGAGCAGTCTACAGACATATTAAATAAGACATTGTAAAATATGATCCTACGTACGCCTACCTGTAATACAAATAATGGTTTGTTTTGAGCGCTGGTGGGATAACTTCCTCGAAACCAGACACGTCTTGACCTGAAATTGAGACAAAATATACACGTCCGTTTAATGGGACTGCTTGATGTCATTCTTAACTTCGTCAGGGACGATGTGAATGTAGTCTGTTTTACATTAAGACCACCCATATCGATGTTGCTTCCTGTAAATTACTTCACTTTTTGCGAGGTTGATATTTTTGCGCGAGGTTACGTCAATCATAACTTTAAACACTCGATAAAATACATATCCAGGAACATTAAAAAGATATTAATATTAGTCTATACTAATTTTCCGTTTATGATTGTGAATTTTCCCGAACAAATCGTCTATTGCAAAACCACAGAAAGAAATATTCGCAAAACATAATTATTGTCATTCAATTTAATGATTCGCCAAGCTAACTAAGGGTCGGACATGGAACTTAAGGATATATGCTACCTATGTGTGAGTTACACGTCTCCTAAACAAAAGAGTTTCACATCAAAACAATTTTTATGTAAAATAATGTTATGTTCATTAGGCAAATTTAGGACATTTTTTGAAAAGTAAACACAGTAAAATTGACAACTCAGGCGATTCTGATTAATAATAATAATTAAAATATTTCAAGGAGAGGAATTAGCTTAAAATCTTAGTTTGTAATCCAATCCGCTTTATACTATGTTTTGTAGTATGTTTAAAGTGCAAACATTGGATATAAAATAATGTTTAGTTTTGATACATAAAATAGAGAGATGTCAAAACGACGTTTACGATTAAGGGCGCGTTTGAATGGGACGTTTAAGTTCATTTGAGTGAGATGAAACTATATGGGCTGGAGGTAAAACAAGGGTCGTTCGGGGTACCTGAAACATACAGTTTTATGGCCTTAGCATTATTTTAAGATTCTGAGTGATTTCAACGAGTACATTTTGGTTTACTGTTCAAATGTGTCTTCGTACCTTGTGTACGTTTTCAATGTGTCATCATTTTTTTGTGTACTTTTCAAATATACCACTTATTTTTTCTAAATCTGTTAACATTTTCTGGTGTATCTTTTATCAATTACCAACCAACTTCATAAAGATATTTTATAACTTTTCACTGAGTGGAACTCTGTTGTTAAAGAAGATATATGTCGCGGCATGGTAGGATATAGCCTTAATACATTTCAGAATATTAAATGGACTGAGATAAGTCCTGTATTTGATTTCAAATTATCATCTTAATGTGTGTATTTGTTAAAAAGTGTTAAGAGCCAATTGAAATAAATTGTCCACTTAGATAGCCCAACAAACGAATATTGTGTTTTTGTCGATATGTTGTAACGCCCCGTCTCTGTATCCAACAGGGGGGGGGGGACCTAACATGGGAAAACATAAATTTTAATTTCGTTTAAATTTTCTGTATAGATCAACACACATCCACGTACAAAATTATTAAGGGGACTCCATTTAAAAGGCATTGCCATAATTTCGTGTGTTAAGTTAGTTTGTGTATTATCTATATAGATGTATCTGAGTATAAAGTTCCGTTAACGATTTCACGGGATGGGTCACGAAAGGTGATTTTTTTACGTCAAAAAAGACAGAGAAAAGAAATGTTGTCAGGTTTAGGCTAAGACTTGTATCCCATCTGTAAACTGTTTATAAAGCGCCCAACCACATGAGTTAAATCAGATACAAGAGAGTGTTTTTTTCCGAAGAGAGTGTAAAACTCATATAGTGCAACGCACAAATGAAAATAAATTGGTAAATAAGTTGTCAAATCAATTGATACTTTAATTTTCATCCGTAACATTTATTGGGATAAGTGAGAAAGAAAACGGGGTTCTCTAAACGCTTGTAATGGTAGTACATGTAGCACGTCGGTCTGCACATAACTCGCCTCACTTGATTCCTTAACAAGTGATCTCGGGGGGAAAATACGGAAATATACCAATACATGTTATATATGAAATAAAATATTTAATCATATGTTTAGAAGAATTTGTGTACATGTGTCCCAGATTGAAAAAAAACGCGATTGCTCGACATGAAACAGCTTCCCACCTATCTATTACAATATACGTGTATTGGCGTTAAATGCGATTTTACTTGAGGACGGTATACTGGCGTATCCTCTGATAAACTCCCCAACGCCCTAATTTAATTTCCTAAATAATCACCGATATAATTCACTTCGTTCGCCAGTGCAATTAACTCCCCTTTAATGAGATTTTTTCGTGCTCTTACTTTTCTTGAATTCATAAACCCCGATTGAGGATCACATTATTCATGAAAACCTCATGTTTATACTTAGCCGGGTCTTTGATGCGGGTTATTAACACTGACAGTTAGCCTCATAAAAACCTTCGATCTAAATAAAAAAGATGACTAAGAGTCGGAAATATATTATGTCTATAGTTTAACTACAGAGTGATGCAAATTGATAGGGAACAACCAAGAAAAAGTGGTTATTAAAATGTAAAGATATATTTCTTGTCGAGAAAGTAATGAACTGATTCCAATGAAGTTTGTTGGGAAGTTTAACAAGATATTAAATCGTTGTTGGACGCGTGTAATTGATAAGTGTGTTTACAACACGTTTAGTCAATGTAATGTGTGTGTTTACAACACCTGTAGTCAGTGTAATGTGTTTGTTTACAACACGTGTAGTCAGTTTAATGTGTGTGTTTACAACCCCTGTAGTCAGTGTAATGGTTGAGTTTACAACACGTGTAGTCAGAGTAATGTGTGTGTTTACAACACCTGTAGTCAATGTAATGTGTGTGTTTACAACACGTGTAGTCAGTGTAATGTGCGTGTTTACAACGGGTAGCAATGTGTAAGTACATTAATATCAAACGTAGTTGGGGTCACACTGACCTTTGAACTTGATACAGTTGTCATGTGTTTGGACCTATCCTAATGTTTAGAGAGTTATATTAGACGTTTCGGGGGTTTATTTCAGCTTAATTCCTGTAAATACCATCATATGGGGAGGTGAGGGGTGCAGAAAGTTAATCTAAACCCCTAAATGGGTAATGTTCCTCTTTACAGATTAGGGTAGGTCCATGAAAGCCAACAGTAACACATTCTCATGTCCATGTGTCCGGGGTCCGGAGAGGAACACGTGATATGGCCGACAGTCAGGATTGCTGGGAATAAAATGTTGGGGAGGCACACGTGTCTACTAGGGATAGGCTTAGGTTTGGCAGTCTGAGAGATGGCATTTAACTCGCCATTTTCAGACCTGCGAAGGCGTCGGTGACTGTGCACAAGAATTGGTGACGTAGAAGGAGGCAAAGTGTTACTGGAGTTTTCTGTAAAAAATCTTAAACTTCCCATGAGTATGCTACTATAGCACCATTTCATCATTCTGTTTACCTTTGACATGTGACAGTCTGCACAGCAGTACGGCAATGCATCTCAAATACTGACAGTATATATAAAGCAATGAACCAGTTTAACATCACGTGCGAGATTACAATAAAATTACCCTCATCTGACCTTCATCTGCAACTGCGCGAATGAAAATGTCGTTTAAATTAAGAAACCGTCACATAAAATCCAGCGGATCACTTATTGGATAAGAGTTACTGTTTCATCATCAACATGGACTGGTGTACGCACCTGTAGATGTCTGACGCTGATAGCACACAACGGAAACAACATCAACCGGCTTTATCATCTATTTTTGTCATTTAACATTTGAAATAAAATGTTCGCCGGAAATACTTCCCTACCCCAGGTTATACTATAAAATTGCTCCTTAAAGCCAACTAGCGGCTTAATGCATGACTAAAGTGTTTTCTGGCAACGGCGGGAGATATCAAGGGTAGATAATTCAAAGTGTTAGATAAACACACGGCAGGTTGCGCTGCGAGAGATTGTTACGCAATCAAGAGCTGAGAGAGATTGGTGTAGATTTTGTGGGGTTGGCAGTACTCACGCGGAATGACCCGAGTGGCCTCCGATTACGACAGCGGAAACAATCGAAATATTTGTTAATGTTCCGGATTAAATCTGTTCGCTGAATATACATTAATGTTTAACAAATACTCTATGATATTACCTTTATTTATGAGTGAATGTATGAAGACTTTAGCACCGCCATGCCATTTTGTATTAGATCTATATAGTATTTATTTAGCTATAACATATCATCAAGATGCGCCATCACTGTTTTCTGAATCTAACTCCCAGCTATACTTTGAAAGCAAATAGGTTTCAGTTTAGTAAAAGGAGGATAATGTTGCAGCCTGTCTTAGAGTTTGGACCATCGTAATAGCAAGCGTAGAAAAAATAAGAGGTACCCAAACTCGTCACCACTCGGCCGATTCCAGAAAAGGGTACCGGAATAGACCGATGATTACCGAGCTTTGGGTGTTATTGGTCTATACTTTCTATAATTTCTGTTTCCTTTGTTTCAGGTTCCGAGGTTGTCTGAAGCAGTCCGTGTCTCCGATGGCCAGTCTGATTGGGAGGATTTACTTCAACATCATGGGATCCAAATGTTTCACGGTTTCCATGGAGGAAGTGTGTGTCCGGCGGTCCTGGTGGGGACGCTGTGAGGAATACGGACAGCAAGAAGCGGTCAAAATCGAGGATCAGGAGCCTTACAATTATTGTGAGGGTAGAAAATAGGCGGACAAGGCCTCTTACTGTGAATACAAAGTGTATGGGGAATACGGGTCCTAGTTACATATAGGGGCAAGGACGTCTCGAGGTCTTTGTGGGGACAAAGTGTCAGGACCTCTTGGAATGGAAACGAGCTCCAGTGGTCCTGACGACATATAGGAAATACAGATTATCATGTGGGAGAATTAAGTGAAGGAATACAGGGTCCTAATGAATAGACGACAATATGAGGGACCCGGGTTCATACAAGGTGTTAAGGGGTGTTAGTTTGGAGAGGGTAGGCGCGTATGGGGTGTTGCTCTCGGTCCGGGGAGGGTAGATGCGTACAAGGGTCTTACTGTCTGTTCGGGAAGGGTAAGCGCGTACGGGGTGTTACTCTCGGTTCGGAGAGGGGTATATGCGTACGGGGTGTTACTCTCGGTTCGGAGAGGGGTAGATGCGTACAAGGATATTACTGTGGGGTCCACATATACGGAGACATGTAATCTTACCGTGGTGTAAATCCAAGTAATAAAACACAGGGTTCCATTGTTTGGATGACAAGTGAGGATGAAGCTAGTAGACAGAGTACAGGGGACGGGAGTTAGCTCTACAGTGCGGTATATCTGTCATATAGGTGATAACGATATAGGAATTATAACCGGATGATGTGCAGGATTATATCTAATTACAATGGAGACTTGGTCGACCGCTTGACTGATTGACGGACGGACAGGAACCCGCTATATGTTCGCAGTAATACTTCGGAAATTTTGATGGGACGACTTCAAAATGGCATTTGCATGTTAAGACATAGGCTTATATTTATATTCATATAGTTGTACAAAGTGTGTGGCAGTCGGCTAAACGCCATTGTGACATAAGACTGGTATACCTGGGCCAACTTGTATGAAACATCTCAAAGTAAAGGAAAATCTCAAGCAATGTATTGTCTATGGGAAATCTTAAGACTTAAGGAAACCTCAGGAGTCGAGATGCTTTATACAAGTGGGCCCTGGTTACCTGTTATCACAGCACAATGTGATGAGTGTGTCACAGATCGATTTGTGACGTCACAGGTGTGTGGCGACATGGTTTTTCTAGAGAGACAGAACTAAATCCATATTTTATCGAAAGAGACATTTGATATTGATTTGGAATATAACGAATGTGATTTTTCACCAGTTTCCATTTATATGATATTTTCCAAATGTAAAAGATTGTAATTTTTTTCGTGTGAAATCAAGCAACGCATAGATAACATGCCAAAAGGCTTGTGATATAAGAGATCAATTCAACTGGTTTGATAAAATTCATATAAGACGAAACCTGTATAAGGTCCCATACATATATATATATATAAAAAATAAGATTAACGACCGACTGAAAAACTAGCTGCTTTCACCCTTCACAGGGCTCTTCAGGTTTATTCAAAAGTTGTTCTTTTGAATAAACCTGAAGAGCCCTATGAAGGGTGAAAGCAGCTAGTTTTTTAGTCGGTCGTTAATCTTATTTTTTCTATATTTACTTCCTTCACATGGACATTTAATCCTTTTTTATTATATATATATATATATATAATACTTCAAATAAACAGTCTGAAGAATCTCCTAGAAGAGATGAAAGTACTAAAGACTCGTTGTTAAGAATTTTTCTTTATATAACATATATATATATATACATATATATAAAATGTACTTTGAATGTTACACAACATTGATTGAAAGACGGAATTACTCGTACCCGTTAGTCCTGTCGCCGGTACAGTATCCGGACTGACTGCTAGTTAGTCCCAAACACCACGTGGTACCGGCATACCAAAGATACCATCACACTGATCAGCTTTATTGCAGCGTCACAGAACTGTACACATTATCATAGAGTGTATCATACTATCTGCCTTCATTTAAAAAATATCAGCTAATTCACTTACAATCAAACATCGCAAGCACTTTCATGTACCTGCATCTTCAAAGTACTCGGTTTGTAAATAGGTATTAATTGAAATGTTTACAAAGCAGGTAGATTTTATCGCCGTTATTCATGAACTGTTAATGGTTTCTGTGAGCGAGATGATATCAATTACGGGGTGTATATTCCTCACCGATCGTAACCTCGTCACCTCGGCATAATCGCTTCATCACATAACTGACTCACCCACTATAACGCGGGTATCATTTACACCTTACACCGCCCAGGTATGATTTAACGGTTACACCGTCTGTGGTAGTCTCGTTCAACCAGACTCTTGTTGTCTGGGCAAGCTACGCCGAACAGAGTATCTTAGATTACAAGTGGTAAGCGTCTGGTTGAACGAGACTACTGTCGTTTCTCAACCAAATAGTCTCGTTCAACATGACTCTTGTTGTCTGCGAGCTACGCCGAACAGAGATTCTTGAATTACAAATGATCAAGCGTCTGGTTGAACGAGACTATCAACCAAACGCTTACGCATGAAATATCGAAGCGTTTGACATATGTTTAAAATTAAAATAGTACTCGTATCCCATTTTTTTCCCGGTTTTTAAATGCCGGATTTCGTTAACAGTTTTAACTGTAAATATCGGTGAACATGGATACGGAGTACGTGTAAATATAGTAGAATTATCTCCCAGTAGGAGTGAGTGGAAGTACGGGTAATTTTTACGTCAGAGACGGGCGTCATCTAGTCTTGTTCAACCAGATCTTGTTGTCTTCACAAGCTACACCGAACAGATAATTACAAGTGATCAAGCGTCTAGTTGAACGAGACTAGGCGCCATCGCGCAAATATCATATTCAAGAGTTACAGACATTTGTCACATTTCGAACATATTTTTATTGCCCCTATGCCAGATATCGGCACAGTGTACAAAATTAATATGGCGCCCATCATTGACAGTGAACGACATGTATAGTTATTATTGGTCAGTTTTCGTGAATATTTGTTTTTACGTATGTTTTCAAGGCAATTAATTACTTCATGAGAATTTAGTGAATAAAACCTCGAAATGAATCCAACCCGAGTATATAATTGAGACCTGCCGTTACCGAAACCTGAGTTAAACGACACCTTATAATATCTTACAGTAATCTCATTGCCCCGAAAGAGCCTTAATTTACTGACATACTCTCTTGTCTGTTCAAATGGGGGTTGGGTGGGGGGTGGGGGTGGGGGTAACATTTACCGATACACCGTCTTTTCCGGCCAAAGTATTCTGTATGTTCCAATTTCTAAAACAAAACCCCATTTTAATCGACACGCTCTCTTATACGACCATTTTTGTTCAGTCCCTGATTTCGGTTAGGACAGGTTTCACTGTATATCAAATATTGAATGTACTGAAAATTCCGAATTTTCGTAAATTCACGTTCGGGTTCATCGGGAAATACCACAAAAATATATATCTCGCAAAATATGACTAGTTTACAGCATGTTCTTTTTTGTATTATTTATTGTGATCGTCTCTCTCCCCCATTGTTTTATGCCCACTTTTCACGTGTAATGTGTACATATATGTGTATACATCTATGTTAATGTATGGTTAAGATACCATTATCTCTGTATACCAGCAATAAACCCAACATACATGTCTATAAGAATCTTTGTTTTCTTTAACTGTGTTGGACCACAGGGGTTCGTTACAGCACACCCATATCAGTATAGCATATGTGTATTTCAGATATTTGTAACGAACCCCTGTGGTTGGACGATGGTATTGCAGTCAGACGTTGTAATTAAATTCATTTTTGTGCAGCGGAACCGGAAGTGACGTAAAATCAACCATCCGTTTCCTGAAACCAATCTTATGCTCCATCGCCAATTTTGTGCTCAACCCATATTTTTTGTTCCTGTGAAAGATCAATAATATAAACACATTTTGTCAATGATATTGAAGATTTTTGGTGAGAGATAAAGCCGACAACCGTTTTTAATGTTTACACTAGACGTCAAGACCGTGTTGTATGTTTACACTAGACGTCACGGCCGTGTTGTACGTTTACACTATACGTCACGACCGTGTTGTACGTTTACACTAGACGTCATGACCATGTTGTACGTTTACACTTGACGTCACGACCGTGTTTATGTTTACACTAGACGTCACGACCGTGTTGTATGTTTACTCTAGACGTCACGCCCATGTTATATGTTTACACTAGACGTCATGACCATGTTGTACGTTTACACTAGACGTCACGACCATGTTGTACATTTACACTAGACGTCATGACCATGTTGTATGTTTACACTAGACGTCCTGACCATGTTGTATGTTTACACTAGACGTCATAACCATGTTCTATGTTTATGTAAGTTACGAGGAAATTTTTTGGGCACAGAATTCATCCTTAAGCATGAGAAAGGTTTCATGAATACGGGACCAAATCCTCGTGATCACTACAGGGCAATATATTTTCAATCTGATTGACTGATATTTGAAATCTTGGGAACAGGTGACAGGTTAAAAAAACTGTATAGAAACTGGAAATGGGAAACTGTCTATGACTATGCTTAATTTACTTTTTCTTCGCTGTGGCGCCATCACTGGCTGTACAGGAAACAAGCGAACAGGTTTACCGATATTAAACGTTAAATATTGATCGATGAACAAGTGCCCTCAAAATTGAAAATTAGATGCTATTCAGCCGCCAGACGTTTCTTGAATTTTGACAGTCTAAGGGAGATTACTCTTTATAGCCTGCGCTCAAACATTTCCTTCGCATGGGGAGACCGAGAGACGTTCTCTTTACAAACGGGAGTAAAAGCATCCAGCTGAATTAATTTGGACTGTTCTCCGTGTCATTTGTAAACCATGTGATAAATAGAATATCAAATTCGTTTCCATTCCGTGAGATTACTTAAGTGTGTCATCAAAAAGTGACTGAACCAATTGAACCGATTGAAGTATTTGAAGTAATTGAAGTAATTGGAATGTGTGTACTTTAGTCAGTAATACGCTCTATGACCTACCACAGGCACTTGTTGTTTTATGAGTCACAAAAGCTAAAACGAAGATATTGATGATAAAAAACCATGTGATGATTTGATACCAGGACCCGGAAATTTGTTTCCATTTCTATGACTGATATATTACAAGTGTCTCGGCGACATCGCATATTAAACGAGTTTATGCCTACTCGTTTTTTACTGAAAACCGACAAAATTTGTTCTTTTTATTAAAATGATTTGGTCAAACCTGCTTTAACGGTCACCTGTTGTAAGTGGTCGCTATGTATGTGCTGGCGGCAGGCCGGTGTTATTTCTCCGGGTACTCCGACCTTCCTCGACAACCAAAATCCGGCACAAAAACACAGACAAACGACCCAAACCGACGAAAACCACTATATCAAAACATTGGACCTAGCGGCCACCTGTCTAACGCGGCCAACTGCCACTAAAACAAACACCCATCATATTATTTAAACCGCTTTATTGAATCAACTTGGACCGAGATGTGACGGCTATAGGTACACTTTTATAAGGCATGGATCATATTTAACTTGGATAGATGGTCTATTTTCCTTCAACCGAACAAAAGTGTATATGGAACTGAAGTTTAGACTCGGCAAGGACGTCAGACATACAGGGTAAGGACGCCAGACATACGGACAGACGTACATACATTTATAGCCCATCAACCAACAACCATGGGCTACTTTCAATGAAAATAATAATGGTTCCTGTTGCGGTTGAAGTTAAACGTTAATAGAGGAAGCAAAGATCAAGGGCAAGAGTCAAGAAGCTTTATTTAACGTCACATATACATGTAACATAATAACATTAGCGCTGTAGTGCTATTCTTGCGACAAAACATATATAAAATTTAACAAGGATCACAGTACTTATGGATATAAATATATAAATAGAAATAAAAAAAACCAAGACAACAATTCAATTAAGATATGCTACAGATATACAGTAGAACGTATGAAATCACAGTTTATGCAAAATAATAATTTAGAAATTTTAAAAGAAATAATTTAATAGTGAACACTTGTATATCACACAAGTGTTACAAAGGACACTATTATAGTGTAATGTACATATATGCTAATGTAGCAAAGTGTAAAATTTTACAGGATATACACTAATATAGTGTGAATTAAAAAGAGACTATGAAGTCATAGATTGAAACAGAGAGCTATAATTATGATATTGTAGAAAGTAATGATCTTTAAATAATGGAGCTCAAGTCTAAAATAAATATCAAATATATAATAAGTATAGTACTGAAGTATATTAAATAAAATAAATAAGCAACAGTGAAGTTAAAGAGTTGTAGTAGAATACATGTAGGTAGATTCCAAAGGGGGACAACTCACACTATATGATGTGTGCAGATAGCACACGAAGCAGCCCACGAAACGACTTATAGTTTTCAGCCAATCGAAGTTCATTTGGTAGGCTGTTCCACGCCTGGGCAGCAGCA